GATGGGAGGAACAAGAGGGCGACTCTACATCAAGCATCCCCACCTCTTTAAGGTCAGGTGCCACAGCCAGATGGTTTCCCATGGGAATTAGGAGCGTGTGCTTCAGCTCCCTTGTTTGCCTCCTCCCCCATGCCCTCGTTTGTTGTCTTAGAGCGCGTTCCCAAGGTTTGGCCAGCGCACAACACGAGCCAATGGTGTCCTGTGCCTGCCAAGGCGGCGGGATGGGCAGAGCCAGGGCTGAGGCTGGAGCAGGGCAGGAGGAGCGGGGGACAGAGCAGAGTGGGGGGCAGATCAGAGCAGGGAACAGTGTCCTGCAGGAGGGGGAGCTTTCACAGCGGGGTCTGTCACTTGTTCTCAGCTCGGTCCTTGGTGTTTATTGCAGTATGCAGCTGACCCGCAGGATAAGCACTGGCTGACAGAGCAGCAGCACATGAGAGCCATTGGGGGCAAGATGGTGAGTGCACCCAGGCGCAGGGCCCGCCACAGGGGTGGGGACACTGCGCTGCCAGGGTCTGTGCCCTGCCCACAGCACTGGGGCATGGCCAGGAGGCACAGCTGAATCCCATGGGGACAGCAGTGGGTGGGGGAATGGCCCTGCCCTGGCTGCCCCTCGCAGGCACCCTGAGGTGTCCCCTGCCTTGTGTCACAGGCCTACCTCCTCATTGAAGAGGACATTCGGGATTTGGCCGCCAGTGAGGATTACAGGTGAGGAGCAAAGCAGAAACTCTGAAAGTGCTGCTGGGCCTGGGGCTGCTTCCCAGGGGATCCCCACCATGTCCCTCCTCACTGCTGCATTGCAGGGGTGTCCTGTGCTGGAGGGACTCCCTGTGTGCTGGCTGGGGGGCTTGGTTATGGTTGGGGTTTGGTGCCCAGGGGGCCATGTTGGTGACAAAGGTGTGGACTTGGTGTTGGTTGGGGTCCATGGTAGGTTTGGGTGCAGTGCTGGCATCCATGGTGGGTTTGGTGGGTCTGGGCTTGGTACTAATGTGTGCCAGGCGACATGGTGGGTTTGGGGTCATCAGTGGGTGCTGTAGTCCCTCCATCTCGCCCTCCTTCCTCCCCAGGGACTCTGTTGATCTGCGGCTGGAGGAGCTGAAGCCTTTCATCCCACCAGCCTGGATGACTGAGAAGATGCAGAAGCACATGGAGACGCTTCGCCGCGGGGGGGAGCTGCCGCCCCCCGAGGACCCCCCCGAACCCTGATGCCCCCCAATAAAGCCGCTTCGTTCCCACCTCGCCGTTTCCTGGCACCGGGCACCGGGCACCGGGCTCTGCCCGCCGAGGGGCCTGCGGGACGCGCGGTCCCGCCCCCGCGGGGCAGCGGCCAATCACAGCGCTGTGCGTCACCGGGCCGGCTGTCAATCACCAGCCGCTGGCCGTTATTGTGGGTGCTGCATCCTCGGCGGGCGGTGATTGGCCGGCTCGAACGGGGCTGCGCGCTGATTGGTGGAGGGGCTGCACGCGGAAATATTCAAACGGGGCGCGGGAGCGGGCGGGGCGTACCGGAGTGTCCGGAACTGGGGCTGCGACCGAGCCGCTCCTGCACCGGAGAGGGGTTGGGACCCAGCCGCTCCTGCACCGATAAAGGGGTCCGGACAGAGCCGCTGCTGAATCGGAGAGCGTCTGGAGCGGGGGTTGGGATCGGGCCGCCGCCGCCGCACAGGAGAGCCCCAAGCACCGCCGTTCGGCACGGGGCAACCCCGCTAGGGGAGCCCTGACCGCCGCTCGGCACCGACAGAGCCGCAGAGGGCCCGAGTCCTGCCCCGAGCGAGACTGCGGGAGAAAGGGAAGGAGCCAGCGGAACTCGGGGCGGCGCCGCCAGGGAGCGGGAACCGCGTCCAGCCCGTGACCCGCCGGCAGCGGCGGCCGGTGCCGGTGTGCTGCTCCGTGCCCCGGGAGCCGCTATGGCCTCACAGAACGCCGACCCCGCCGCCGTGTCCAGCGCAGCAGCCCACAAAGCGGCTGAGACCGGGGCCACGGCGGCCCGCGGCGCGGTGGGCAAGAGGTGAGCGGAGCCGGGACCGGGGCTGAGGGCGGGGGCTGCCCCGGTGAGCCGGCCGGTAACGTGCGCTTTCCCCGCAGGCTGCAGCAAGAACTGATGGCGTTGATGGTGAGTGGGGCCCCGGGGCCGAGTCGGGATTTGGGGATCCTGGGACCAAGCCGGGAATTGGGGGTCCCCAAAGGCACCTGGGGCTGTACCGGGGTGGGGTGGGGGATGTCCGGGGCCGCCCTAACGCGCTGCCCCCGCAGATGTCCGGTGACAAAGGCATTTCCGCCTTCCCCGAGTCCGACAACCTCTTCAAGTGGATCGGGACCATTGACGGCGCCGCCGGGACGGTGAGAGGCGCGATCCCGGTCTGGGGGGGCCTGACCCTGCCCCAGCCTCCTCCCTTGGGCTGTGGGTGGTCCCAGCCCTTCACTGCCCCTGTTCCTCTTCTTCCCCGCACCTCTGGGGCTACAGCCCCTCCTGACTGCTGTCCCCTCGACTCCCACCCCAGGCCTACGAGGAGCTGCGGTACAAGCTGTCGCTGGAGTTCCCCAGCGGGTACCCCTACACAGCACCCACCGTGCGGTTCCTGACCCCCTGCTTCCACCCCAACGTCGACACCCAGGGCAACATCTGCCTCGACATCCTCAAGGAGAAGTGGTCAGCGCTGTACGATGTCCGCACTATCCTGCTCTCCATACAGAGCCTGCTGGCAGGTGGGTCTCGTGGACAAGCTGCTGTGGAGAGCTGAGGGAAGGTGTGGTGGTGGTGGTGGGGCTGTCCAACCCAGATCAGGGCTCAGGGGTGTCCAGGTCACCCCCCACCAGCTGACCCAGCCACTGTTTGCAGAGCCCAACATCGAGAGCCCTCTGAACACACATGCAGCTGAGCTTTGGAAGAACCAAGTCGGTGAGTGCCTGAAGCAGAACCCTTCTGCCCCCTCCCCAGTGGGATGAGCAGCAGCACAGCCCCCGTGCCTGTCTGACCCCACAGCTGCCCTGGCCACTGCCTCAGGTGGTGTCATGTTCCCCCTCTCTCCTCAGCCTACAAGAAGTATGTGCGGGAGACGTACAACAAGCAGACCAAGAGCCAGGAGACCTGACCATCACCACACCCCTTCCCTCCCGGCCATCCCCCGCCTTCTGTATCATAGGCTGTTTTTAAATTAATGTCGCAGTCCGAGCCACGGTTAATGTATAAATAAATGAATAAATGCAGGTTTATAACTTCTGCAGGGGATTCTGTGGCAGCTCTAGCATACTCTGAGTGCCTAGAGGACCCTCTGCAAGTGTGGGCAGGAAGGGTGGAAGGGATACTGAAGCTTTATCAATCTTTGGGGACCTGGAGCAATTCCATTCCATGTACAGGGTGGGAGCCGCTCCCACCATCACCTGTAAGGGCAGGGGTTGAGATCTGTAGGGGTACCTCTGTGTCCTGCTCTGTGACAGGGGTGCCACCTCTCCTGCCCCCTGGGTCAGAGCACCCCACAGCAGTGCCCAGCACAGGCGCCTCCCCAGGCTGCTCTCTCTGTGGTGCCGCTTGTCTCTGCGGGCTGTGTGGTCTCTGTGGCTTCCACTGTCCATGGTGGAATGTTGGCTCCGCTCTCCATCTCTGCCAGCGTGGCCCTCACCTGCTCGATCTCCTCCTCCAAGCTCTGGGTGCTGGGGGGCTGTGTGGGACCCCCTCCTCTCCGGCTGGGCAGCCCCCAGCCCCCCAGCCCGGTGCGCAGCGGGGCCACACCACCCCCTTGCACGGAGAAGAGCTGGCAGAGGTGCTGGGCTCTGTACAGGTCCTGCAGGAAGAGCTCCAGGGCGGAGAGGAAGAGCACCCAGAGCCGCTCCAGCTCCCGCCGCTCCCGAGGGCTGGCCGGGCCCTGCCGCAGCCCTGCCAGCAGCGTCCGCCGCAGCCCTGTGGGACGGCGTGTGAGCCGGGGCCAAGCAGGGTGGGTGCAGAGGCTCCCCTGGCTGCTGCCCGGTGCAGCAGTGCCCTCCTTACCCATGCTGAGCTCACAGGCCTCCGCGCTCCTCCTGCGGCGCTCCTCTCGCAGCCGGGGGCCGTCCCCGCTGCCCCCGAGCTGCAGCACCAGCTGATGGTGCCCGGCCGTGGCCTTGCAGAGGGCAGCCTGGGCTGTGGCACACGTTCCCACTGCCCCCCGCCCGCGGCTCGCATCCCTTCTGCCTGGTGCCATCACAGCCCGTGACAACGGGGCAGGATGGCCGCGGTGGCCGATGGCTCTCCGGGGGCTCGGCTGCTCTGTACCACCACAGCGCTGTGCTGTGACCAGCTCTGAGCTGTGTTTTGGTTCGGTGGTCCCACCCACCCTGGCTGGGGACTGCACCCCGCCTCATGCCCCCGCTGTGCTCCACCCCTGCCGGTCCCCAGGGAGCTGTGGTTTCCAGCAGGCTGGCACAGCCCCTCAAAGAGAGACACAGAGACAAGTGTCACCTTTCCCCTGTAGGGAGGGGGCTGCTCCTGCCCTACCACCTTATAGCCAGGTCCTCTGGGTGGGAGATGTGGGGCTTTCTAAGCCCCTGTGGTCCCACAGCCCTGCCCTGGCGCAGGACCCTCAGGGCCATCCTCCCTCAGCCTCTGGCGTGTGAACGAGCTGCTCTGCACGGAAACTCTGAGCTCAGCACTGGCGCCTGCCCAAGAGGCCGTGGGAACCGCAACTCCGGGCTGCCCCTGCAGCACTGCCTGTGGTGTGAGCCCGCCCATGTTCCCTCTCTGGGGAGCAGAGCAGGGACACACTGCCACAGCCCCCCTCCCCATGCACCCCCAGTGAAATCCTGCACCAGCAGCTCAAGCCTTTCCTCTTTAATTGAGGCTGGAATCAAAGCCACAGGTGACAGATGGGAGGAAAAGCTCAGCCGCCGGTGGTGAGGTGAGACCAGGACCCTGGCACAGAGCGAGGTCCCAGCCAGTGCTGAGGGCCAGATGCTGTGGAGCTGCTGCTCCCTGGACAGCAGGGGAGCAGGGCTGGGTGCAGCAGCTGGCCTGAGGAATGTCTGGTCCCTTACTGCACACCCTCCATCATCTTCAGGAACTCTGCAAGAGAACAGCAGCCTCAGCCCATGGCCCTGCCTGGGTGCACAACATGGGCGCTTGGCTGGGGCCATTGCTCACCATCAAAGTCGATGCGACCGTCATTGTTCTTGTCTGAATCCTTCATCATGTCCTCTATGTCCTCATCAGTGACAGGCTCCCCAGTGGCCCTCAGGATCTCACCCAGCTCCTCGATGTCAATGAACCCATCCGCATTCCTGAAAGAGGGAGAGGGAGGGATGGGACCTTGCTTGCTCCCACAGACAGGATGGGCCACTTCATCCCCACACTCACCGGTCAAAGATGCGGAAGCAGTTGGCCAGCTCCTCCTCAGATTTGCCTTTGGCATCCTCTTTCATCTGGCGCACCATCATGACCAAGAACTCCTCAAAGTCGATGGTGCCGCTGCCTGTGGGGAGGAAGCCGAGCATGGGTCAGGCCGCCTGCCCAGGGTCCAGCTCCCGCCCTGCCACCAGCCACCAAGGGCTGCTCACCGTCCTCGTCCACCTCCTCAATGATGGCATCCAACTCCTCTTTGGTGGGGTTCTGGCCCAGCATTCTCATCACCGTCCCCAGCTCCTTGGTGCTGATGTCTCCACCACCGTCAGCATCGAACATGTCGAAGGCGGCTTTGAACTCTGTGGAGAGACGGGTCAGGTCTCTGAGCAGTGGGGCAGAGCCAGGCCCTGCACCATGGCCATGTCTGGCCCCTGTCCCTGCTGTCCCCACACTCACCCGCAATCATCTCCTCGCTGAGGAAGGCACGGGCTTCTGCCTGCTGGTCCGTCTGCAAGGCAAGGGAGAGGGGTCACCCATATCAGACCAGAGACCCCTCATACAGCATGGCCCAACATGCTTGGCTGTGGGAAGAGCCTCTGCCCTGCTGCAGGATGATCCTGTGCTGGCACAAACCACAGACACCAGCAATCCCTACAGTTCTGATGCCTTCCAGGCCATCCATGAACATGGAGGGCTGCAGAGATCCCCTGCCTGAGTCCCCCATTATCTGGGGGGCTCCATTGTGCTGGGGTCATGGTCCCTGTGCTCAGCCTTGGCATCCTGAGCATGCAGAGCTATTTTTGGGGACTCCTCAGCTCCCCTTGTAGGGATTGTTGGGGCTACAGCCGTGGCACCTGTCAGCCCCGATCGGGTTTCTCCTGGAGGCGCAGGCCGGCCATGGAGCCAGCAGTGAGGCCGTGTCGCATGACCCAGCACTCGGCTTTCAGCCACCCCCTGCTGCCCCTGCCTCTGCACAGCCCTGAGCTCCCAACAGGGCTGAGATGGTGTCCCCAGGCACCTGCACCCCCTCAGCAGCCACTCACTCACCCTCAGATCTGTTCTGTGGGGACCCTGCACCACCCCAATGCCTCCCTGTCCTCACTGCCGTGGTCAGCCCAGCACTGGACACCATATCCCTGCTGCAGAGGCACCTCCACAGCCCAGATCCCCCTGGTGCCTCCTGCCCAGTCAGGTCTTGTCCCAGCATACAACATACAGCACACACCACACAGGAACACTCACCATCTTGGGAACTGATGGAGCTTCCCACCCCCAGAGAATCACCAGCTCCTGCAGCAGGAACTCCCAGAAGCTTCGTGATGCCGCTGGCACCCCAATTTGTAGTGTCTCCTCTGTGGGATGTGCCTTCAGCTACTGCCCCCTGGCCCCCTCAGCCTATCAGTGCTCCGGCAGCACTCAGCCCCTCTCACTGGCAACTGGCGCCTTTACCTAATTTAGCCAAAGCTTTATTGGTCAAGGGCTGGGATTAACATGGGGATGAGGCTGGGATGGAAATTCAAGCCCTTCAGGAGGGAGATCAAAGCTGTGGCAGGAGCTCAGCTCTGCCCACCCCCAACACCCCCATCCAAGGCAACTCAGCAATGAGGGGGTTAAAAATAGCCCTGGAGCCATTAGCATCACCTGGGTAAGGGGGACGGGGTCCCCCCTGCTCAAGGGGCATGGACTATCACCCACCGGCCCCTGAAAATGCAGCCCTTCCTGGCCCAAGCTCCCAATACCAAGCTGGTTTTCCCCAACACAGCGTTCCCCCCCCTGCACCCCCATTTTCTGCTCCAGGGGGACCAGGCAGAGCAGTGCTGCAGCCCCCCACCCCAGAAAAGGAAGGGGTCCCCTGTGAGGCCTGGGGCATGAAGTCCCTGGAGAGATTTGGAGCATGAGCCCCATGGTTTGGGGTCCCCAGTGCTGTTGGCACCTGTTCCGGAAATGGCTCCATTTTTTCGTGCTTCTGAGGAGTGGGAATTATGCCCGGTGCCTCCTCGAAGGCTCAGTCCTCACACTCACAGCCCGTGCCAGCCACTGCTGCCAGGACCGGCTGGGGCCCGTGGCTCTGGGGACACATTGGCCTAGTGGCCCATACCCCGTGGTGCTCAGAGCCCCAGGGCTGCAGTGGGGACAGGGTGACAAATCTCTGTCCCATAAGGTCCCAGTGCCAGGGGTGCCCAGGGGTTTTCTGGCTCCTGCTTTTGCTGGGACCCCCATTCAGCGGGTGGGAATTGGGAACAAGTCCAGCCCCTAGTGCATCCCACCCTGCCCAGGGAAACTCAGGGGTCCCATCTGAGCCGAGTGGGGTGCAGGGTGCTGGAACAGGGCACAGTGAGCAAGCGATGGACAGAGCGATGGCAGCAGCTGGGCTGGTTCCTCGATATTTATAGACATTCCCAAGGAAGCAGTGAGGAGTGAGCAGGCAGACACTAAAAAAGGCTGGGCAAGTGCCGGAGGTGCTGGCTGGCCATGGGGCGTGTGGTGAGGCCGACTGAGGCCAGGGCGGCAGGGTGCCAATGTGCCAAGGTGGCCCGGGGCACATCCCCGAGTCTGGGCTAGCAGGATACAGGGGTGTTGGGAGTCTGGCTGTCAGGGCACAGCGGTGCTAGGGTATTGGGGTATCAAGACCCTGGGACACCACAGCGCCGAGCAGCGAAATGTGTGGCTCCTGTGGCCCCAGGGCAGATATCCGGGGCTCGGCCCGACCACGACATCCCGGACAGGGGACAGAGGGGCCGAGACCGAGAAGGGCGGGGTCGGGTCCTAGGCAGGGGCTGCGGGCAGAGCCAGGCTGAGCCCTGAGCCTGATCCGAGAGTCCCGGACGGTGCCGCAAGCGCCGATCCCGATCCCGGCCGTGCCGGGCGGTGCCGGGAGAGCCGATCCCGATGGCGCCGGACGGTGCCGCAAGCGCCGATCCCGATCCCGGCCGTGCCGGGCGGTGCCGGCTCCGCCGCCCCGATCCGGGTTCCCGGCGGAGGCGGAGCCGCGCAGGGAGGATCCCGGGACGAGCCGTGGCGGAGCGGCCATCGCTCAGCAACACCCGGCTCTGCCCGGCCCGGCCCGGGGCAGCGCGAACAGCCCGGGGCGGGGGCAGCACCGGGAGCGCGTCCCGGGGCCGGGCTGTCCCCGCGGGGAGCCGTGCCGCGGTGGGCAGCCCCGGGCCCCGCCGTGTCGCGGTGCCGGCCCGGACCCCCCGGCAGCGATGGCCGCCCGCATCCTGCACCGGCTGCGGCACGCGCTGGCGGGCGAGGCCGGCCGCGAGGAGCCGGCGGGCGGCGGCGAGGCCGAGGACTGCCCGGAGAGCTCGGAGCTGGAGGACGACACCGAGGGGCTGTCGACGCGCCTCAGCGGCACCCTGAGCTTCACCAGCCACGAGGACGAGGAGGAGGAGGAGGAGGGGGACGGAGCTAGCGAGGAGCTGGAGGAGCCGCCGCAGGCGCCGGGGGCGGCAGCGGGCACGGAGGACGGAGGCAGGTGCTGGGGCGGAGAGCTGGGGGGACTGGGGTGACTCCAGGGACACTCGTGCGATGGTGGCGTCCGGCAGCCCGACAGATGTCAGCCCTGTCCCCACGGCGGGCACTGACACCCCTCTCCCGGCACAGAGTGGGTCTCTGTGGCGGAGCGTCCCGGCGGCAGCCTGCTGACCCGGCAGCTGCAGGAGCTGTGGCGGAGGTCGCGGGGCAGCCTGGCACCGCAGCGCCTGCTCTTCGAGGTCACCAGCGCCAGCGTGGTCAGCGAGCGCTCTTCCAAGTACGTGGTGAGTGAGCCCGGCGCGGCTGGGCGGGCACGGGTTGGGTACGAGTCCTGCTCTCCCCGGGGCAGGGATGCTTATTTTTTTCTCTTTCCCCGTGCTGCTCGGATGGTGCCGGCGGCTCAGATGAGCCTCAGGTAACTATGGCTGATGGGTGCTGTGGCTGCAGCAGCCCAAGCCACTCCCTTCTGTTCGGGCAAACTCCCCCAGCCCCTTTGAGGCCGCACACCCCGCTGTGCTTGTGCCGGGAGCAGCATGCCCACAGCACTGCCTGACACCTGCCTCCCCCGCAGCTCTACACCATCTACCTGATCCGCTCTGGCCAGTTTGACAAGGCCCCTGCCACCATCGCCCGGCGCTACTCGGACTTCGAGCAGCTGAACCGCCGCCTGCGCTGCCGCTTCAGCTGCGACATGGCCAGCATTGCCTTCCCCAGGAAGAGACTGCGCCGCAACTTCACCGCTGAGACCATTGCTAAGCGGAGCCGAGCCTTCGAACAGTTCCTGTCCCACCTGCACTCCATCGACGAGATCCGCCGCTCTCCTGAGTTCCTCGAGTTCTTCTTCCTGCCGGACCTGCAGGCCGCGCAGCGCCTGACGTGCACGGGCATGTACCGCGAGGCCCTGGCCACCTGGGCCAACGCCTACCGGCTGCAGGACCGCCTGGGGGTCTGCAGCTCCGGCCGCTTCCTGCTGACGCTGGCGGGGCTGGCCGTGTGCCACCAGGAGCTGGACCAGCTCAGTGAGGCCCACGGCTGCTGCGAGCAGGCGCTGCAGCTGCTGGAGGCGCAGGGCAGCCACCCGCTCCTGGGACCCTTCCTGCAGGCCCACATCCACCTGGCCTGGAAGGTGGGCAAGGACAAGCGGCGCTCGGAGGCCCGGCTGCAGGACCTGCGGGAAGTGGGGCTGGCCCTGCAGCAGCAGCCTTCCCTGAAGGAATGCCTGATCAAGGAACCTCTGGAATGAGCCACCTGTGCTCACATGGGTGGGAGGGGAAGCTCACACGCCTGTGGCAGCTGGGAACAGTGAGGGAAATGCCATAGGTGGCAGTGGGGCAGGGAAGCAGCACTGCAGTAGCACGGGCAGCACAGTCCATGCCTGGAGCTGCCTCCTGAATGCACTTTCTCTGTGGTTAGTCTGTTTTACAGGGCTGGGGACTCACGGGGGTCCACCACCCACACTGGTGCTGCCCAAAGCTGCTCCTCCTCTGCAGGGGATCCTGGAGTGGCTGAGACTTTAGCTGGGACATACTGGCACCTTGCAAGGGAACGGGAAAGCTTCTGGCAGGGTCCAGGGCTCTTGCCGGGAACTTCCCATAAAACTTACACAATAGAAAGGACTTTATTAAATAAAGTCTTGGCAGGAAGAAGAGCAAGGCGCCTGCTGTGTCTCTTTAGCCTTACTACCCCAGGGCATCATCAATGGGAGGCCCCAAGCCTCCACACAGAGGTGGGAGCTGCCTCATCCCCTTCTTCCAGCTGGGCCCAAGCCCAAGCCCAGTCCTAGGGAGGAGCCCAAGGACAAGCAGAAGCAGCTACTGAGGAGCCAAAGCAGTGCAGAAGTGAGAAGAGGAAACAACGTGAGCCAAAGTAGCACCTTCCTCTCCTGTGACCCCGCCTGGCATGGGGGCAGAGCTGATCCACTGTGCTCCTGGCACTGCCCGCCCTCGTGCAAGCCCAGTCACGGGTCCAAGGGGACAAACTCCAGGGACAGAGTCCAGCTCTTCACCCAACGGCTTTATTTTAAGGTGGGTGAAAGATAGCTGATGGCAGCATGTGCTTACATGCTGTGCAGCTAGCAGCTGGTTGCGACGATGCTCTGTTGGTCACAGTCTGTCGCAGACACCTCTGGCACCAGGACTTCCTGCAGTGCTTGGTCCCACCTGGTCTCCTTCCTGTTCCTGTCCAGGTCCTGCCTTCATCTCAGGGTCCCTCCCTGGGCATGCTTCAGCTCCAGTCTGTAGGGTGTCTTCAGCTAGAGCTTGCTCTGGGTTGGTGTCTGTTCCACCCTGATGACACCTTCCTGTGCACAGGTGACAGCCAGGACCCCATCCCTGCGCCACAGCCGTCCCTGCACCAAGCCCCGGCACCCACCTGCAGAGATAGAGAGACTGTCAGCCTGCAGCCCACTGCCCCAGGACAGGCAGGGCTGGCCTTGCCCATCAAGGTCTCCCAAAGACACACTAAGGACTTACCAGCCCAGGGGCTCTCACACTCGTACAGCATCCAGTGGTCAGCTCTGAAGGGCGCATGGAACCACATGGAATGGTCGAGGGACACCATGAACTTGACGCGGTACTGCCGGTGCGGGAGCAGGGCCGTGCCCAGGAAGGCGTAGTCAGAGATGTAGGCGGCCACACAGCAGTGCACCTTCATGTCAGTCTCTCCTGCAGAGCAACCAGCACTGCCCATCCCGTGGGGGCCCCTGGGACATGCCTGGGGTGCTCCACTCCCCTGGAGCCAGCTGCCAAGCACAGCTGGGATTCTTCCAGACTTATTCCCTTTGCCATGCCATGCCTCAGCATCACCTCTGCACCCACACCTGTATTACAGCCTTGAAGTGCCCAGGCTGGGGCACAGGCAGCCCCCTAATCACAGCCCTCCCAGCCCAATCTGTTGAAACAGTGCTCCCCCTTGGCTTGGGAGGCACCTGGACCCAGCAGGACCCACCTATGTAGCCTCGCGCTCGCACCCAGAAGAGCTGCTTTGGCTCCTGTGGCTCTGAGTTGAATATATCTGGTGGGTTCACGGGTTTAATGTCAATCGGCACATCTTGAGCTTGGATCTTGGTGAGACGCTTCCTGTATCCCTCAGCCACATTAGGATTCCTGCAGCCCAGCACAGAGAAGCAAGGTTAACACCAGACAGGCAGGTTGGAACACATCCTACTGGCAGCAGCTCCATGCCAGGGATCCAGGGGCACACAGAAATACAAGAGGGGCACAGCTCCTGTTGTGTCCTGCTCCTCTCTTCCCCTCCCAGGCACATTTGAGAACTCCTCAGACAATACTCTCACACACCTCCCTATGCCCCAGGCACCAGGGGCATCCCTGGTGTGTCCCTTCCACCCCACTCACTGCAGGAACTTCTTGATGAGCTCCTCCTGTGTCAGCAGCTCCTCGGGGGGTGGCACGGTCGGCATGGTGAACTGGTGCTGCACTGGGCTCCCCTGCGAGAGCTGGAAGGAGGCCTGGCAGATGAAGATGGGCTTTCCATGCTGGATGGCCTTTACAGAGCGAACGGAGAAACTCTTCCCTGTGCGGGTCCGCTCCACTTCGTACAGCACCGGCACCTTGGGGTCCCCTGGCACGGGAAAGGGACGTTCTGCGGCCGGGCCACGGCGCACCGCGCACCGGCGGAACCCGCCTGCAGGGGCCGGGCCCGGCAGCGCCACTCACACCGTCCCTGTTTGCTGGCACCGGGATGACGGCGCCTCCTCACTCCTGAGAACTTCCCCAGCGTCCCAACCCCTGCCGGGCCGCTCCCGGACCCCCGCACCCCGTCCCCGCCGCCGGTTCCCCGGTTCCCCGGGCGTACCTGTCCGCACGAAGTAGCAGTGCAGCGAGTGCACCTGCTCGTCGCGGCTCACGGCGTGGGCCGCCGCCACCAGCGCCTGCCCCACGATCTGCCCGCCGAAGAGGTGCTGCGTGGCGGGCACCCAGTGGTGCTGGCCCCTGCGGGGAGAAGGCGGCCGCGGTGAGGGTGGCGGCGGAGGAGGAGGAGGCGGGCCGGTCCCGCTGCCCCAGCGCCCACCCGCACCTGAAGAGGTCGACCTCCAGCCGCTCCAGGTTCAGCACGCTGGTGATCAGCACGCTGCGCAGGTCCCCGGGCGGCGGCGGCGGCCCGGATCCCGGCCCCGCTCCAGCCCCGCCGGCGTCGCCTGGGGCCCCCATCACCTCCGCGAACCAGGACCGGCACCGCGACCCGACCAGCACGGCGGACCAGGAAGCACCGCCCAACCGCGGGGCGAAGGCCGCCATGTGATTGGACAGTAGAGCCGTCAGTCACCCTAGTCTTGTCAGGAGGCTCTGGACTGGTTGGTTCGCTTCCTGTCAATCAGGAGAAGCCGGCACTGATTGGTCAGGATCAGGGTGCGGGCGGTGCCCCGCTGGTTTAACGGGGATGGCGGGGTGGGCTTGGGCGGCTGAGCGGAGCCCGCCCGGGCGTCCCCCCGCGACCACCGCTCACCATGCGCCCGCCGCCTCGCCTGCAAGGGCTGCCCCTACGGCCTGCGGAGCAGCGGCCCGGTGCGCAGCCACAACCGGCAGCACGGCACCG